CAGGTGTGGAAAGTGAACTTACAAGGCATGAAACAATAGTCACACAGGAGATCTTCAGGAAATTCCCGTTCATCCGTGCGTCAGTTGTAAGTCTCAGGGAAGGACCCTGCCTGTCCACATAAGGGACCTGGGAATGGGATGAGTGAGAAACTCGGTGCAAACACCTGCCTGAAAATAAGAGATGAACGTAGGTGCTGCCCCAGCAGCAAATGTTGCATAATTTGAATTTTGGAATTGACCTAAAGTCAAACTTTAGTCTGAGTTTCTGTGAAATGGAGGCTGCTTAATCATACCTCACATATCTAGCATTTGGAACATAAACAAGATCTAAAACTTAACCAGAAAGCAATGCAGGTGACGGGCCGAAGTTTAGAAACTGGATGCGAATGTAAGAAAGTAACACTCCATTTGAAGATAACTGACTCAGGGAGACAAGCTGGAGAGGATCACTGAAGGGCCAACTCAGAAGTAATATGCAAAGGAATGAATGAAGGAATGTATGTGAGCAAGCCTCCCACAGCCTCTTCCTTCCATGCCAAGAGCAGAGATTTCTTACCAGAGTGGAGCTTTTTTAATGTAATGAGCCCGGGGAAGGTTTCACATACAACCCAAACTTCCGTCCTTCTGGCCTGGCCTTCTGCATTCTGGCCTCCGGTCATTCAGGCCTTCTGCCTTCTGGTCTCTGGCCTTCTGTTTTCTAGCCATGTGGCCTACCGCCATCTGGCCTGGCCTTCTGCATTCTTGCCTTCTGGCATTCTGGAGCACTGTCATGATGTCTTCCTTTTGGTGTTCTGTCTTCTGGCCTGGACTTGCGCCTTCCCGCATTCTGGCTCTCTGGCCTGGCCTTTTGTTTTCTGGCAGTCTTCTCTCTGGCCTGGCCTCTGGTTTTCTGCCTTCTGGCTTTCTGCCCATCTGGCCTGGCCTTTGGCCTTCTGTCCTCCTGTCCTTCCTTCTAACCTCCTTGGCCATCCTCCTTTCTGTGTTCTCCATTTGGTGTTCTGCCCTCTGGCCTGGCCTTCTGCATTTTCGCCTGGAGTTCTATTTTCTCACCTACTGACCTTCTGACCTTTGTCCCTGGTCTTCTGCCTTCTGGCCACGTGGCCTGGCCTTCTGCCCTCTGATCTTCTGGCCTGGCCTTCTTCCTTCTGGTCTTCTGCTTTCTGGCCTGACCTTCTGTTTTCTGTCCTCCTACCTTCTGTCCTTTTCCCTCCTGGCCCTCTGCCTTCTGGCCTTCTGGCTTTTGTCCTTCTGGCCTTCTGCTTTCTTGTTATTTGTCCTTCTGCACCTGACCTGGCCTTCTGCATTCTGGCCTCCTGGCCTTCTGGCTTATGGCCTTCTGCCCTCTGGTCTTTTTTGTGTGTGTGCCTTGTAGCCTTCTGCCTTCTGGCCTGGCCTTCTGACTTACTGGCCTTCTGCCTTCTGCTCATCTGGCCTGGCCTTCTGGCTTTTTGGCGCTCCGGCCTGACCATCTACTATCTTTCTGTTGGTGTTCTGGCTTCTTGCTTCGTCTTCTGTGTTCTTGCCTGGCCTTCTGTATTTTGTTCCTGCCTACTGACCTTCTGGCCTTCTTCCCTGGCTTTTTGGCCTTCTGTCTTCTGGGTAGCTGGCTGGGCCTTTGACCTTCTCACCTTCTTGTTTCCTTCCTGGCCTTCTGCTGGCTGCTCTTCTGGCCTTCTGCCCTCTGGCCTGTGTTTCTGCTCTTGCCTTATTTCTGACTTCTGGCCTTTTCTGGCCTGGCTTTTTCTTTCCTGGCTCTCTCTTTTCTAGCTTGGCCTTCTGTGTTCTGCCCTTCTAGCCTTCTGACTTTCAGCCTGCTCACCTCTGTCCATCTGGCTTGGGCTTCTGCCTTCTTGCCTGACCTTTGCTTGCTGACCTTCTGGCCTTCTGCTGTCAGGAATTCTGGCCTTTTGGACTGGCCTTATGTTTTTCTGGCCCTCTTCTCTCTGGCCTGGCCTCTGGCCTTCTGCCTTCTGGTCTTCTGCCCATCTGGCCTAGCCTTTTGCCTTCTTGACTTGTCTTTTGTTTTCTGGCCTCTGACCTGCTGTCTTCTGACCTTCTGACCTTGTGTCTTGGCCTTCTGGATTTCTTCCCTGGTCTTTTTGCTTCTGGCCTTTTTCCCTGGCCTTCTGGCCTTCTGGTCTTCTGCCTTCTGGCCTGGCCTTCTGTTTTCTCGCCTTCTGGGCTGTTACCTAGTAACCTTCTAGCCTTCTTCCCTGGCTTTCTGCCTGCTGGCGTTCTGACCACGTGACCTGGCCTTCTACTCTCCGGCCTTCTGGCCTGGCCTTTTGCCATCTTGCATTCTGTCTTGGTCTTCTGCCCTCTGGAAGTCTGACCAGGCCTTTGGCCATCTCACCTTCTTGCTTCCTTCTTGGCCTTCTGCTTGCTGGTCTTCTGGCCTTCTGCCTTCTGGCCTTCTTGCTTCTTGGTGCTCCGGCATGGCCGTCTGTCTTCTTTTCAGTGTTCTGTCTTCTGGCTTGGCCTTCTGACTTTTGGCATTCTTGCCTTATGTCCTGGTCCTTTGTTTTCTGGCCTCCATCTCTCTGGCCTGGCCTCTGGCCTTCTGCTCATTTGGCTTGGCTTTCGGCCTTCTGTTCTTCTTTCTTCTGGCCTTCCTCCTTCTAACCTTCTGGCCTTCTGGCTTTCTGGCACTCTGGCTTGGCCTTCTTCCTGTTGGTGTTCTCTCTCGTGGTCTGACCTTCTGCCGCCTTGCCTCGTTTTCTGTTTTCTGGCTTTCTTCCCTTGTCTACTTTCTTCTGGCCGCCTTCCCTGGCCTTCTGCATTCTTTCCTGGTGCTCTGCTTTCTGGCCTTCTGGCCTGCTGCCCGCTGACCTTCTGACATTCTTCCCTGACTTTCTGCCTTCTGGCCTTCTGGCCTGATATTTTGCCTTCTGGCTATCTGGCCAGGCCTCCAGCCTGCTCACCTTCTTGTTTCCTTTCTGCCCTTCTGCTTGCTGGTCTTCTAGCTTTCTACCTTCTGGCCTTCTGGCCTGGCCTTTCCTTTTCTTCCCTCTGACCTGGCCTTCTGGCTTTCTGCCTTCTGGCCGTCTGGCCTGGCATTCTGTCTTCTAGCATGGCTTTCTGCCGTCTGCCGTTCCGGCCTCTGTCTTCTCTCCTGGTCTTCTGCTTTCATGCCCTTTGTAGGTTCTGGCCTTTTGGCCTGGTCTTCTGCCTTCTTACCTTCTGGCTTTCTGCCTCCTGGCCTTTGGCCTTTTGCCTATTTAGCCTTTTTGTTTGTTTTCTTTTTTACTTTTTTTTTTTTTTTCTTCTGGCTTTCTGCCTTTTGAATTTCTGGCTCTCGGACTTTTGGTCTTCTGGACTGGCCGCCTTCTTATCGCCTTTCTAGCCTCCTAGCTTTCAGCCTGCTGACCTCTGGCCACTAGGCCTCGGCTTTTGCCTTCTTGCCTGGCCTTCTGCTTGTTGGCCTTCCAGCCCTCTGACTTCTGGCATTCCTGCCTTCTTGCCTGGTCTTTTGTTTTCTGGCCCTCTTCTCTCTGGCCTGGCCTCTGGCCTTCTGGCTTCTGTCCTGCTCATGTGGCCTGGCCTTTTGCCTTCTGGCCTTCTGGCTTTGGCTTTCTTTTGGCTTTGGCCTTCTTCTGCTTTCTGGCCATCCGGCCTGACCTTCTGCCTCCTGGTATTCTGCCTTCTTCCTTTTGGCCTTTGGCTTAATGGTGCTCTCGCCTGGCCTTCCTCCTCCTGTTCTGCCTTCTTGCCTTGCCTTTTGCTTTCTGGTCATCTGGCGTGCTGTTTTCTGGCCTCCTGTTTTCTGACCCAGCGCTCTGTTTTCTGGTCTTGTGGCCTGCTACCTTTTGTTCGTCTGTCCTTCTTCTGGCCTTCAGGCTTTCTGGCACTCCAGCTTGGCCTTCTCCCTTTCAGTATGTTGTTTTCTGGCCTGGCTTTCGCCCTTCTTGCCTGGCCTTCTGTTTTCTGGCCTTGTGGCCTGCTTCCTATTTACCTTCTGGCCTTCCTCCCTGGTCTTCTGCCTCTGGCCATCTTGCCATCTGCCTTCCGGCTGTCTGGCCGGGCCTTTGGCCTTCTCACTTTCTTCCTTCCTTCCTCTGCTTGCTTGGCCTCTGCTTGCTGGTCTTCTGGCCTCCTGCCTTCTGGCCTGTTTCTCTGGCCTGGCCTTCTGCCTTCTGGCCTGCTGACTTTTGTCTTCTGGAATTCTATCTTCTTGCCTTTGCCTTTCTGGCTCACTGGCCTGGCCTTCTTTCTTCTGGTCTTCTGCCTTCTGGGCTGGCCTTCTACTTTCTGGGCATCTGACCTGCTGCCTTCTGGCTTTGTGTCCTGGCCTTCTGCCTTATTCCCTGGTCCTATGCCTTCTTATTATTTGCCTTTTGGCTTTCTGACCTGGCCTCCTGCATTTGGACCTTCTGCCCATTGGGCCTGGCCTTCTGACTTTGACCTCCTGGCCTTCTGTCTTCTTGGCTCTGGCTTTCTGGCTCTCTGGCCTGTCCTTTCTTCTGGCCTTCTGTCTTCTGGCCTCCTGACTTTCTGGAACTCCGGGCCTTCTTTTGTTCAGTGTTCTGTCCTCTGGCCTGACTTTATGCTTTCTTGCCTTGCCTTCTGTTTTCTGGCCTTCTGGCCTGCTGTCTTCTGGCCTTCTGGTCATGTGGCCTGGCCTTCTGCCCTCTTGCTTTCTGGCTTGGCCTTCTGCTTTCTGGCATTCTGTCCTGCTCTTCTCCCTTCTGGCCATCTGGCCTTCTGCTTGCTGATCTTCTGGCCTTCTGGCTTCTGGTTTGGCCTTCAGGCATTCTGGTCTTCTGGCCTGACCTATTGTTTTCTGGCCCTATTCCTTCTGGCCTGGCCCCCTGGCTTTCTGCCTTCTGGCCTTCTTGGCAAGCCTTCTGGCCTGGCCTTTTGCCTTCTGGCCATCTGGTCTAGCATTCTGCCTTCTATCATGGCTTTCTGCCATCTGGCCTTCTGCCTTCTATTCTGGTCTTCTGCCATCTGGCCTTCTGACAGCTGCCTTCTATTCTGGTCTTCTCATACATCTGTCTGGCCTTCTGCCTTCTATTCTGGTCTTCTGCCATCTGGCCTTCTGTACTTGCTGCCTTCTGGCCTCTGGCCTGGTCCTCTGCCTTCTTTCCTGCTGACCTTCTGTCTTTTTGGCCTTCTGCATTCTGACTTTCTGGTGCTCTGGCCTGGCCTTCATTTTTTCTGATATTCTGCCTTCTGGTCTGGCCTTCTGCCTTCTGTCCTTCTGTGCTTTCCTTTTGCCTTTCTGGCCTCAGGCCTTCTTCTTTCTGACATTTCTAGACTGAGTCAGGGCTAGAGAGGGCTGTGGCATTAGTTTTAAAGATACATCATCCAAGAATGTGTCCCCACACCCCATCCCCAGGCTATATCCCTTTGGGGAGAAAGAATGCTAAGGCTTCTCTGTGAGGCTGCCCCAAGTCTTTCCAGGCTGGGCTCTCTCTGACTCCACCCCACTTTCTGGCCTTATCGTCTGCCTTCTGGCCTTGCCTTCTAGTCATTGCTTTTTCTCCCTTTGGCTTTCTGCCTTTTTTGCCTCTGCCTTTCTGGCTTTCTTCCTTCTGGACTTCTAGCCTTCTGGCCTGGTCTTCTACCTTCTGGCCTCTGGCCTGCCCTTTTGGTTTTCTGGTCTTCTGTGTTTTGGCCTTGTCTTCTCCCTTCGGGCCTTTAGCCTTTTGGCCTTCTGCCCCTCTACCTTCTGGCCTTCTATCTTGGACTTCTGTATTCTGGCTTTCCATCCTGGTCTTTTTCCTTCTGGCCTCTGTCTTCTGTCCATCTGGCCCTCTGCCTTCTATGCTTGCCTTCTGCCTTCTAGCCTCCTGCCTTCTGTCCTCTGGCCTTGTCCCTTCTGGCCCTCTCTCTGGCCTTCCAGCATTCTGTCTTTTTGGTGTTCTGCCCTCTGGCCTGACCTTCTGCCTCCTAACATTCTGGCCTTCTGACCTGGCTTTCCTGCTCTTTCTTTTGGTACAGTACCTGTTCAGGTCTTTTGCCTATTTTTTTCCCCATTGGGTACTCTACCTTTTTCTTATTGGTTAGTAGGTGTTCTTTATATATTCTGGATATTAGTTCTTGGTTGAAGATATTATTGCTAATATGTTCTCCATTCTGTAGGTCGCTCTCTCATTCTCCTAATGGTGATATATGTTGGACAGATATTCTCATTTATAATATTATACATTTTATTTCTTTTTTCTTGCAACAGAATAGATTTTTCTTAAGGATAGTTAAATGAAGAAAGCAGCATTTTCCAGTGGATGAAGGGGTTTGAGCAGAGGGAGGGAGGTGGGAATGTCAGGACCTTGGAGGACACGGGTGTCACCTGACCCTCAGGGATGTGTAAGAATCTAGAGCCGGGGGGAGGCTGCACGAGTTTTGGGTGGGACAATCATGGAGGCTTTCTAAAACCATGCTGTGGAGTTGGTCTTCCTTCCTGAAGTCCACAGAGAGTTGAATTTTTGAGCAAGGGCTGTCAAGACCAGAGCTGGGGTTAGGATTATTAATTCAACAGCAAATGCCTGATGTGGTGAAGTGGAGTCAGAGAGAGCCCCGCCTAGAAAGACTTGGGGCAGCCTCATAGAGACGGCTTAGCATTCTTTCTCCCCAAAGGCATATAGGCTAGGGATGGGGTATGGAGACACATTCACAGACGCTGTGTCTTTAAGGATAATGCCACAGCCCTCTGGCTCTGACTCAGTCTAGAGCTGTCTTTCCGCTCTATGTAAAAGCTCAGAGAACAAGCAGATGAGTCAGAGGTCACAGGGCAATCCTTCATCCATCAGTGCTCTGGCAGCATTGGAGGAGATGGGGCACGTCTGCCAAACTCCTCCCGCTGAAATCTAAACATCCCAGAACCCAGACAGGGACATGGAAATCATACGTTTTATTTTGAAAAATATTATCACTCTTCTAAAAATATTTAAGGTGACTAACAAAATAATAGCAATAACATCTCTACTGTATCCTTAGGCCAGACCCCATACTGGTCATTATGGTAGGAGACGCACTTGGAGCTGTGCACAGAGAGGATGCCAAAAGCAGAGGCCTGTGATGGAGAATAAGGCAGGAGCTCAAAGAGCCTGTGGTGGGGAGTTGTATGTGTCCACCTGGCCAGGCTATAGCACCCAGTTACTCAATCCAACACTCATCTAGGTGTTGCTCACGAGGGATTTTGTAGATGGGCTAACATCTACTATCAGTTGACTTGAGATAAGGAGATTACCTTCAGTTCAGTACCCCATTTGATCAGTTAAAAGGCCTAAAGAGTAGAATTGAGGTTTCTCTGAGGAAGAAGAAATTTTTCCCCAAGACTGCAGCATCATCAGCTCCCGCCTGAGCACTTGCAGCCTGCTGACCTGCCCTGAAGATGTCGGAATTGGCCAACCCCACAATTTCATGAGCAGATATGTTAAAGTAAGTGTTTTTTAATTTCTCTATTTCTATGTCTCTCTCAACCTCTGCCTCTACTTCTACCTCTTTATCTCCATCTCTACCTCCATCTTCGTCACCATCTCTATTATCTCTATCTCTGTCTCCATCTCTATCTGTAAGTGTGCCTTCATATCTCTGTCTACATATCCTGTTCATCCTGTTTCTCTGGAGACTGCAGGCGAATACTTAAAGCCAAGGTCAGTGGAGCAGTGGACAATGAGGACCAGTTCTCTGACCTTAGTGTCTTCTTTAGTTTCTGTCTCTTAACTCTGCTGTAGCTACAAGACCCTCTTTCTAGTCTTCAAATGTTCCAAGCATGTTGTAGCTGCCAGACTTTGGCACTTGTTCCCTTCACCCAGACAACTCTTCCTCACAGCCTGAGCATCTGCTTCATCTAGGGGTCTGCATAGAAGCCACCTCGGGGAGAGGTCTTCCCTGATGGCTCGAACCTACAATATCCATCACCGTCATCCTGTCTTTACTCAGGTAGTTTTCTTCCCAGTGCTTATCACTGCTGGCTAGTAGATAGCTTTTATTTATTTATTTATTTATTTATTTATTTATTTATTTATACCCAGGCTGGAGTGTAGTGGCATTTTCTTGGCTCACTGCAGCCTCTGTCTCCCGGATTCAAGTGATTCTCCTGTGTCAGCCTCCTGAGTAGCTGGGATTATAGGTGAGTGCCACCATGCCAAGCTAATTTTGGTATTTTTATTTTTATTTATTTTTTGTTGTAATTTAAGTTCAAGGGTACACATGCACAATGTGCAGGTTTGTTACATATGTATACATGTGCCATGTTGCTGTGCTGCACCCATTAACTGGTCATTTACATTAGGTATCTCCTAATGTAACATATCTCCTAACATATCTCCTAATGCTATCCCTCCCCTCTCTCCCCACCCAACGACTGGCCCTGGTGTGTGATATTCCCCAACCTGTGTCCAAGTGTTCTCGTTGTTCATTTCCCGCCTATGAGTGAGAACATGTGTTTCGTTTTCTGTCCTTGTGATAGTTTGCTCAGAATGATGGTTTCCAGCTTCATCCATGTCCCTATAAAGAACATGAACCCATCCTTTTTTATGGCTGCATAGTATTCCATGGTGTATATATGCCACATTTTCTTAATCCAGTCTGTCATTGATGGGCATTTGGGTTGGTTCCAAGTCTTTGCTATTGTGAACAGTGCCGCAATAAACATACGTGTGCATGTGTCTTTATAGTAGCGTGATTTACAACCCTTTGGGTATATACCCAGTAATGGGATGACTGGGTCAAATGGTATTTCTAGTTCTAGATCCTTGAGGAATCGCCACACTGTCTTCTACAATGGTTGAACTAGTTTACAGTCCCACCAACAGTGTAAAAGTGTTCCTATTTCTCCACATCCTTTCCAGCACTGTTGTTTCCTGACATTTTACCATCTGACTGGTGTGAGGTGGTATCTCATTGTGGTTTTGATTTGCAATTCTCTGATGGCCAGTGATGATGAGCATTTTTTCATGTGTCTGTTGGCTGTGTAAATGTCTTCTTTTGAGAAGTGTCTGTTCATATCTTTTGCCCACTTTTTGATGGGTTGTTTTGATTTTTTCTTGTAAATTTGTTTAAGTTCTTTGTAGATCCTGGATATTAGCCCTTTGTGAGATGGATAGATTGCAAAAAATTTCTCCCATTCTGTAGGTTGCCTGTTCACTCTGATGCTAGTTTCTTTTGCTGTGCAGAAGCTCTTTAGTTTAATGATCCCATTTGTCTATTTTGGCTTTTGTTGCCATTGCTTTTGGTGTTTTAGACATGAAGTCCTTGCCCATGCCTATGTCCTGAATGGTATTTCCTAGGTTTTCTTCTTGGGTTTTCATGGTTTTTGGTCTAACATTTAAGTCTCTAATCCATTTTGAATTAAGTTTTGTATAAGATGTAAGGAAGGGATCCAGTTTCAGCTTTCTACATATGACTAGCCAGTTTTCCCAGCACCATTTATTAAGTAGGGAATCCTTTCCCTATTCCTTGTTTTTGTCAGGTTTGTCAAAGATCAGATGTTTGAGATGTGTGGTATTACTTCTGTGGGCTCTGTTGTGTTCCATTGGTCTATATCTCTGTTTTGGTACCAGTACAATGCTGTTTTGGTTACTACAGCCTTGTAGTATAGTTTGAAGTCAGGTAGTGTGATGCATCCAGCTTTGTTCTTTTGGTTTAGGATGGTCTTGACAATGGGGGTTCTTTTTTGCTTCCGTATGAACTTTAATGTAGTTTTTTTCCGATTCTGTGAAGAAAGTCATTGGTAGCTTGATGGGGATAGCATTGAATCTGTAAATTACCTTGGGCAGTATGGCCATTTTCATGATATTGCTTCTTCCTATCCATAAGCATGGAATGTTTTTCCATTTGTTTGTGTCCTCTTTTATTTCATTGAGCAGTGGTTTGTAGTTCTCCTTGAAGAGGTCCTTCATATCCCTTGTAAGTTGTATTCCTGGATATTTTATTCTCTTTGAAGCAATTGTGAATGGGAGTTCACTCATGATTTGGCTTTCTGTTTGTCTGTTATTGGTGTGTAGGAATGTTTGTGATTTTTGCACATTGATTTTGTATCCTGAGACTTAGCTGAAGTTGCTAATCAGCTTAAGGAGATTTTGGGCTGAGACTGTTGGGTTTTCTAAATATACAATCATGTCATCTGCAAACAGGGGCAATTTGACTTTCTCTTTTCCTAATTGAATACCCTTTATTTCTTTCTCTTGTCTGATTGCACTGGCCAGAACTTCGAACACTATGTTGCAATAGGAGTGGTGAGAGAGGGACTCCCTGTCTTGTGCCAGTTTTCAAAGGGAATGCTTCCAGTTTTTGCCCATTCAGTATGATATTGGCTATTGGTTTGTCATAAATAACTTTTATTGTTTTGAGATACATTCCATCATTACCTAATTAATCGAGAGTTTTTAGCAAGAAGTGCTGTTAAATTTAGTCAAAGGCCTTTTCTGCATCTGTTGAGATAATCGTGGTTTTTGTTTTTGATTCTGTTTATGATGGATTACCTTTATTGATTTGCATATGTTGAACCAGCCTTGCATCCCAAGGGTGAAGCCAACTTGATTGCGGTGGATAAGTTTTTTGATGTGCAGCTGGATTTGGTTTGCCAGAATTTTATTGAGGATTTTTGCACCAATGTTCATCAAGGATATTGTTCTAAAATTCTCTTTTTTTGTTGTGTCTCCACCAGGCTTTGGTATCAGGATGATGCTGGCCTCATCAAATGAGTTAGGGAGGATTCCCTCTTTTTCTATTGATTGAAATAGTTTCAGAAGGAATGATGCCAGCTCCTCTTTGTACCTCTGGTAGAATTCAGCTGTGAATCTCTCTGGTCCTGGACCTTTTTTGGTTGATAGGCTATTAATTATTGCTTCAAAATTTGAGAGCCTGTTATTGGTCTGTTCAGGGATTCAGCTTCTTCCTAGTTTAGTCTTGGGAGGGTGTATGTGACCAGGAATTTATTCATTTATTCTAGATTTTCTAGTTTATTTGTGTAGAGGTGTTTATAGTATTCTGTGATGGTAGTTTGTATTTCTGTGGGATCAGTGATTATATCCCCTTTATCTTTTTTTTATTGTATCTATTTGATTCTTCTCTCTTTTCTTCATTATTAGTCTTGATAGCAGTCGATCAATTTTGTTGATCTTTTCAAAAAACTGAATCCATTGATTTTTTTGAAGGGTTTTTTGTGTGTCTATCTCCTTCAGTTCTGCTCTGATCTTAGGTATTTCTTGCCTTCTGCTAGCTTTTGAATGTGTTTGCTCTTGCTTCTCTAGTTCTTTTAATTGTGATGTTAAGGTGTCAATTTTAGATCTTTCCTGCTTTTTCTTGTGGGCATTTAGTGCTATAAATTTCCCTCTAGACACTGCTTTAAATTTGTCCCAGAGATTCTGGTATATTGTGTCTTTGTTCTCATTGGTTTCAAATAACATCTTTATTTCTGCCTTCATTTCGTTATGTACCCAGTTATGTACTTCAGAAGCAGGTTGTTCAGTTTCCATGTAGTTGAGCAGTTTTGAGTGCGTTTCTTAATCCCGAGATCTAATTTCATTGCACTGTGGTCTAAGAGACAGTTTGTTATAACTTCTGATCTTTTGCATTTGCTGAGGAGTGCTTTACTTCCAACTATGTGGTCAATTTTGGAATAAGTGCGATGTGGTGCTGAGACGAGTGTATATTGTGTTGTTTTGGGGTGGAGAGTTCTGTAGATGTCTATTAGGTCTGCTTGTTGCAGAACTGAGTTCAAGTACTGGATATCCTTGTTAACTTTCTGTCTCGTTGATCTGTCTAATGTTGACAGTGGGGTGTTAAAATCTCCCATTATCATTGTGTGGGAGTTTAAGTCTCTTTGTAGGTCTCTAAGGACTTCCTTTATGAATCTGGGTGCTTCTGTATTGGGTGCGTATGTATTTAGGATAGTTAGCTCTTCTTGTTAAATTGATCCCTTTGCCATTATGTAATGGCCTTCTTTGTCTCTTTTGATCTTTGTTCCTTTAAAATCTGTTTTATCAGAGTCTGGCATTGCAACCCCTGCTTTTTTTTTGCTTCCATTTGTTTGGTATATCTTCCTCCATCCCTTTATTTTGAGCCTATGTGTGTCTCTGCATGTGAGATGGGTCTCCTGAACACAGCACACTGATGGGTCTTGACTTTTTATCCAATTTGCCAGTCTGTGTCTTTTAACTGGAGTATTTAGCCCATTAACATTTAAGGTTAATATTGTTATGTGTGAAGTTGATCCTGTAATTATGATGTTAGCTGGTTATTTTGCACGTTAGTTGATGCAGTTTCTTCCTAGCATTGATGGTCTTTACAATTTGGCATGTTTTTGCACTGGCTGGTACCAGTTGTTCCTTTCCATGTTTAGTGCTTCCTTCAGGAGCTCTTGTAAGGCAGGCCTGGTGGTGACAGAATCTCTCAGTATTTGTTTGTCTGTAAAGGATTTTATTTCTCCTTCACTTATGAAGCGTTGTTTGGCTGGATATGAAATTCTGGGTTGAAAAATTCTTTTCTTAAGAATGTTGAATATTGGACCACCCTCTCTTCTGGCTTGTAGAGTTTCTGCCAAGAGAGTCACTATTAGTCTGATGAGCTTCCCTTTCAAAGGAACTTTGAACTTGTCAAAGTCATTCTCTGTCCAACTTTGTTCCATCACTGGTGAGGAGCTGCATTCCTTTGGAGGAGAAGAGGTGCTCTGATTTTTAGAATTTTCAGCTTTTCTGCTCTGGTTTCTCCCCATCTTTGTGGTTTCATCTACCCTTGGTCTTTGATGACAGTGACGTACAGATGGGGTTTTGGTGTGGATGTCCTTTCTATTTGTTAGTTTTCCTTCTAACAGTCAGGACCCTCAGCTGCAGGTCTGTTTGAGTTTGCTGGAGGTCTACTCCAGACCCTGTTTGCCTGGGTTTCACCAGTGGAGGCTGCAAAACAGCAAATATGGCAGAATGACTAATGTTGCTGCCTGATCCTTCATCTGGAAGCTTCGTCTTTGAGGGGCACCCAGCTGTACGAGGTGTCAATCAGCCCCTACTGGGAGGTGTCTCCCAGTTAGGCTACTTGGGAGTCAGGAACCCACTTGAGGAGGCAGTCTGTCCATTCTCAGATTTCAAACTCCATGCTGGGAGAACTACTACTCCCTTCAAAGCTGTCAGGGATGTTTAAGTCTGCAGAAGTTTCTGCTGCCTTTTGTTCAGCTATGCCCTGTCCCCAGAGGTGGAGTCTACAGAGGCAGGCAGGCCTCCTTGAGCTGCAGTGGGCTCCACCATGTTTGAGCTTCCTGGCCGCTTTGTTTACCTAGTCAAGCTTCAGCAATGGTGGACGCCCCTCCCCCAGCCTCACTGTCACCTTGCAGTTCGATCTCAAGCTGCTGTGCTAGCAGTGAGTGAGGCTCCATGGGCATGGGGCCCTCAGAGCCAGGTGTGAGATATAATCTCCTGGTGTGCCATTTGCTAAGATCACTGGAAAAGCTCAGTATTAGGGTGGGAGTGTCCCGATTTTCCAGGTACTGTCTGTCACGGTTTCCCTTGGCTAGGAAAGGGAATTTCCCAAACTCTTGCCCTTCCCGGGTGAGGTGATGCCCTGCCCTGCTTCGGCTCACACTCCATGGGCTACATCCACTGTCCAACAAGCCCCAGTGAGATGAACCCGGTACCTGAGTTGGAAACGCAGAAATCACCCGTCTTCTGCATCACTCATGCTGGGAGCTGTAGACTGGAGCTGTTCCTATTTGGACTAATTTTTGTATTTTTAGTAGAGTTGGGGTTTCTCTATGTTGGCCAGGTTGGTCTTGAGCTCCTGACCTCAAGTGGTCCACCTGCCTCAGCCTCCAAAAGTGCTGGGATTACAGGTGTGACCGACTGCACCACACCATAGCTTTGTTTTAATTGTCTCTTGCTCACTGGAATAGAACCTTCACAGGAGCAGAGATACACTTTTTATCTCTCACCTCCTAGATCTCAGCACAGTGCCTGCCACAGAGTGGGCCCTCAGTGAGTTCCAGATTGTAGTGGGTTTTGACTGGTGGGCTCAGTAATTGTAAGGAGTTTAAAGCAGATTAACCTCCTGGCAGCCATGGACTCCTGGAGAGAGACCTTGGAGGGAACCTGCAAAAAGAGACCAGCAAGAAGCAACTTGGAGGTACCTGACAGTTTTCCCTTATCTCTGATCCACATTGCCTGGCCACGTTGTTCGTAAAGAAGGCCTTATGACACATCTCATAAAAGCAACCCTAGCCTCTCGATCGCTCAGCAATTTGGGGGAGGAAAATCAGACCCTGAAAATGAAAGTGCACAGTGGTAATATATGGTATCAGATCCATCATTCTTTACAGCAACAAGAATGATGGCCTTTGGGAAGCAGTAGTTGCACCTGAAAGATAGGCAGTTTAGACATGTCTTGACAGAGAAGAATTACCCATCTCACCCTCATCCCCCCACATCCCCATCCTGATTCCAAGGAATGGCAGAATTACAAAGAAATCAAATGCAGGGCAGATTTAGTACGGATTCAAGGCTTTGGTGATAATAACAAGATGAAGTTTTAGTCTACCAGGTATCACCATATTCTCAGTCTGGGCGAGGGTGTGGCTGCCCATTAGATCGGACTTGGTGGGATATGGGAGGACTCACTTGCCTCTAATAGCGCTCAATAATTTGTCCAGCGTGCTGAACTGGGACCATGCAGGCCTAATTAGTGTTGACAAATAGCAGTCACAGGTGATGGTTCTTACACTTGGCTTCTGTGTGAGAGTGAGTTTATTTTGGATTAATGAAGCTGGAGTGGGAATAGATATTTAGAAATTATAAACATAAGCTCACGAGAGCCCGTTGATAACATAAGCAAGTGAAGCAAGGTTTAAAGCAATAGGGAGTAGTGGGGATTGTGGTTAACCTGAAGGTGCAAACCCCACCTAAAGCAAGAAGCCACCACTCAGTTTCAGCTGTTTGAGGCCAAGTGGGAGTGTGAGACTGGTGTTTCCAATCAGAATTTATGGGAGGAGGTAAAAAAAAAAACCTCTTTTATGTGGGATCTCTTGATTTTAAATATTGGCAGCTAATTTTAAAATGTTCTACACTAATCCCTTATCTTAAGATGGGGAGTTGCAGGCCAGGCCAGAAAGGGGACGAAACTTGCTCAAAGCAGTTCAGCAACTTTGCCACAAGATAGGGATTGTAATTTCATTGCCTGACTCCTAGTTTAGTGCTCTTTCCTTTTCACTTCAGCTTGCTTTCCTCTTTAACAAAAGTCTTTAGTCTCTCATCCCTGGACCCAGAAAAGACAGGGTAAGGAAGAAATTGGCTGGGTCGGGGGATGTCTAAGCAAACAAGTCCTAAATTTTACAAGAGCACGAGATAAAGACAATTATTTTAACACACTCTAACTCAGCAAAGTTCTGGATTTAGGGTACAGAAGCCAGGGACTGAGGATATCAGGATTGGGGAGTCAGGGGTGCTTTGTAAAGATGTGTGCTCCTCCTGGACCATCTTCAGAGTTCTGGGGCATCCCTCGTGGAGCACCTCTGAGCTCTGAGCCAAATGCGTCCCTTTTACTTTTATGCTAACCAAGTTTCACAAGAACAGATCCTGTGGCCTCTGACTTAAACCACAGTAGTTGCAAGCTGTCATTGTAGGAGTTCTCTGGAGCAGAATAATCACGCAGACCATGGAGAAAAATCCATCAAGATATATCTGGTCTAGCCACCTATCATAACTCAACGCCATCCTCCTTCTGCTCTCTGGCTTAGACTCCCCGAGCCCTTATCCTCCAAAGCTGGGCAAATCTTTCACCTTTGGCAATATGGGGGACACAGTTTGCATTACACAAATCAACAATGTCATCTCGGAAGAGACCAAATAGGAAATAAGAGGCTTAATGGGATTTATCAATGACTGTCTAGGACCATATTTCTTTGAGAAGTGATTGTTTCACAGAATCTAATGTCTCATAGTTTCAGATTACTTCCAACTAGGACAGCCTACAAGATAGCAGTACAATCGGGAGAATTGGGCAATGTAATTATAGTATGGAAATGATGTTGATCACTCAAGCAGAGTGTAGACCTTGAATCTAAAACCTTGCTCTGTCTTCCCACCCATTTTCCATGGCTCGCACTTGAAGCTGTAGCCACCACACCCAGGAAACCTGGAGGTAAGCTCACTCCTACTTGGAAGCTAGAAGGTGGTCAAGTCCCTGTGTAGGGTGTAATGAGGTGTGGGGCAAGGGATCAGGACTAAGCAGGGACTGAGCAGTTGGGGCTAACAGGAACACCTCAGGGGTGACCCATTGCCCTAGTTTATGATGGTAACAATTTTCCAAGTACTTAATTTCCCAAGCATACACATATGTGTGTGTGTGTGTATGCATATGTATATAACTCCTAATTCTTGTTACATATTAACAAGACTATGTATATGTATATGTATATGTATATATGTGTGTGTATGCACATATATATACACCTTCCTCCCTCCCATCTCCTTTTCTCCCACTCATCCTTTCTTTCATCCATTCATCTATCCATCATCCATCCATTATTAAATATTTTCTTACTATTTTCCTTCCTTTTCTCCTTCTTTCATTTGTTCATTCCTTCCTTCTTTCCTCCTGTGCATCCTTAATTTCTTTCACCCATCCATTCATCTATACATTATTCCCTCATCTGTTACTAAATCTTTGCTTCCTTCTTTTCTCCCACCCATCCTTGATTTCTTTCATCCATCCATCTATTCATCTATACATTATCTACCCTTTGTTATTAAATCCTTCCTTCCTTCCTTCCTTCCTTCCTTCCTTCCTTCCTTCCTTCCTTCCTTCCTTCCTTCCTTCCTTCCTTCCTCCTTCCCTCCCTCCCTCCCTCCTTTTCATCCATTTATTTACTGAGTACCATCTCCACATGAGACAATATGTAAGGCTTTTGAGGATATAAAGATGAATTATTTCAACTACTCATTGAGTGTATGCTATGTGCAAACATACCTATACGTAGCTTCCAGGTATAGAAAAACTCATTATTCATATTGTTCATCAAATATTTGTGGATGATTGATAAGTTTTTTGGACTTACTACTGTTCGTCAAACCCATTTCCACTTTTAGTTGAGCACACAGTTTAAGCTACATTTTCCAGCCTTCCCTGCAGTGAGGTGTGACCAAGTGACTGAATTCTAGTTAAAGGAATGTGAGCAGAAGTGATGTGGGGTAGTTCCTGGCCTGGCCATAAAATGTTCCTGCTTTTTCCACAACCTTCCAGCTAGGTTTCAACACCAAGGATGACTCTGGAAGGTCACTTGTTGAAACTGGCAGAGCCATCAGGAGCCTGGGTGCTTGAATGAACCAGTGGAGCAGAGCCCTCCTTCCCTCCCCCATCCTCTGGTGCCCTGAACCTGCATTGCATCATCAGGTAAGGTAAACCTGCACTGATTGAGTTGAGGAGAAACATGAGCGTTGTCAATTGCAACAGTTAGATAAACTCTATAACAGGTGCTGGGGGAACGAACATTCATGCAAACCTTTTTTTGACACCTACTACAGTCCAGGAAACATAGTGAGTGGCCAGAGTGAGGCACAGTTCACTCATTCAAACAAGTCTACTAGGCTTTGGGGCTGCAGAGATAGATTCATAACAATTTACACAAGCATTCATTAGGTAATTAGTATGCCCCAATCTTGGACTTAAACTTTGAGGACACAAAGAATAATTCATTCAAACATGGATTAAGTTTACTAGTACGTGCTTGACACTGGGTTGAGTATTAGGGAATCAAAGATAAACATAACTCTTCTCTTCAAGGGGTTCACAGTCTGGTGGAAGAGCCACATCACGTCCTGGTGTTGCACGTATGGGAAGTGTTCAAATAGAACTTTTCATGAGATTCCATGATGACCCAGGAAATTATCTCTGCTTGAGGCTGAGGGAGAAGAGGAGGGAGCATGGAAGGCTGCAATAAATGGTGGTTTTAGATCTCAGCTTTTAAGGATGAATATAAGTTTTCTAGGCAGAGAATAGGTGGAAGGGAAATCCAGGCAGAGGACACAGCATGTGCAATGGGCGTGTGTCCTGGGATCAATGAAGAGTCCTGTGTGTCTGGAGCTCAGGGACAGGGGCAAGGACAGAAGTAAGTGAACAGGGTGGCAGCCTGACTGTATGGCAGATGCTCTCCTCTTTCTCCCTGCAGGGTTTGTGTGACTGGACTTAGCAGGGCTAACAGGCTGAGATTAATCCCATCCTGGACTGAGGTGGGAGTAGACATTCTGTCTCATGCCTCTCCCACTGGACAAGGACTGGGGTTCATTTTAAAATGATATCTTAATGAGGAACCTCACGATGTCATCCTGCTAATATCATCCCCATTTTATGAATGAGTAAATTACTCATTCAGATGACACGGCTGTTTGAGCCCAGGTTAGCACTTAAGCCTCCAAGTGAGATTGCATTTATAATGTGCTTGTGGCCCCGGTAGAGTAGGAAAGGGGTTTCCAGATCAAACAACGAGGCAGAGGCTCTGAAAATCTCGGGGTGATTGACTATATTTGGCAGAGGCCAAGGAGGTTCCCCTTCCAAACACTAACCAGAACTAGTTCCACCTGGCACTCGTGTGTGTGTGTGTTCATGTGCACGTGCGCACGCCTGTGTGTGTGCATGCATGTTTGTGTGTATGTGTAGTGTAGTGAGGGGTGTAAAGATGGGAGAGTCGTAGCTGAGCCAGGTACAGCCTGTGCTGTGCTAGGAAGGAATAAATCTCTCCCTGAGCCAACGTTAATATAAACTTGGCAGGTTTTGTGCAGGCCCCCAGTTGATTATGCCAGTGGATGCTGGGGAGGAAAAGATTAAGCTGCCATAGTGGGGTATGAATACACATTACACAGGGTGACCACACACACACCCACACAGCCTCACACCAACCCACACAGTCACACACTGACCCACATAGCCATGCAGCCACACACCCACACAGTCATACGTCCACACACCCAGCCCACCCACACAGCCACACACTGACCCACACAGCCATGCAGCCACACACCCACACAGTCATACGTCCACACACCAACCCACCCACATAAGTCACACACTGACCCACACAGCCATGCAGCAACACACAGCCACACACCCACACAGTCATACGTCCACACACCAACCCACCCACATAGTCACACACTGACCCACACAGCCATGCAGCAACACACCCACAGTCATACACCTACACACTAACCCACACAGCTGCACACAGACCCACATACCTACACAGCCCCACACACCCACACAGCCATACACTGACCCACATGGCCGTACCAAGGCGATCAGAGTCTGGAACACTCTTTCTATAGACTGACCGCAAATTGGATTTCCTGTCAACTCTCGCACTTGGAGTCACAGCTCAGGGTATTTGAAGAACACACTTGGTGGGGCTCACAGAGCCATCTCGCTAATTTGGGGCAGCCCAATCTATAGAGTTATAAAGTGTTGCTTTTCACAAGGTTACTTCGCTGGATGGGTTTTGTGCAGCTTTGAAAATAAGACTTATTCCTAACAGAGCTTTCCTCTGGGGCTGTTGTTCCATTACTGTTTTTATTATTTATTTGTATGGGTGTGACGTGGTCGGGGGAGGAGAAGGGGCGTGTGTGTGTGTGAGAGAGAGAGACAGAGAGAGGGAGAGACCATGGAAGCTGGTTGGCCCCATCTAAAGCATTTGTATGAAGTCCCTTCCAGAAATGTGTTTACATGACAGACTGTCTCAGATCCAGCAAGGAGAGGCTGCTTTTTGGCATATATTATCAATTCCAAAATGTGTAATAAATACACATTTCACAAAAGCAATATGTGTTTTAAAATATAATATGTGCAGACGATCTTATAAATCACTAGCTTGACACTTTTGTGTCTACCTTTATGTCCCTTACCCTCTCCCACTCGTAATACAATTGTCTTAAATGGTTTTATAAACAACATCAGATAGCAGTATAATTTTGTTGCATCCATAAAACATAATTTAGAGAATTGAAGGTGAAGGAAAGTCTTTTGTATTTATGTGTAATTTCACTATGTTCTTTATTCCATCCTGATGTCTTTTTTTTTTCTTCTTTATTTTATTTCAATAGGTTTTGAGGGAACCGGTGGTGTTTGGTTATACGAATAAGTTCTTTAGTGGTGAATTCTAAGATTTTGGTGCACCCATCACCCGAGCAGTGTACACTGTACCCAATGTTTAGTCTTTTATTCCTCACTTCCCTCCCACCTTTTCCCCTGAGTTCCCAAAGTCCATTGTATCATTCTTATAACTTTGTGTCCTCATACCTTAGCTCCCACTTACGAGTGAGAAAATACGATGTTTGTTTTTCCATTTCTGCGTTTCTTCACTTAGACTAATGGTCTAATTCCATTCAGGTAGCTGCAAATGCCATTATTTCCAATTATTTTATTCCCTTTTATGGTTGAGTAGTATTCCCTGGGGTGTGTGTGTGTGTGTGTGTGTGTGTGTGTCACATTTTCTTTATCCACTCATTGATTGATGGGCATTTGGGCTGATTCCATATTTTTACAGTTGCAAATTGTGCTGCTATAAACATACATGTACAAGTCTCTTTTTTGTATAATGACTTCTTTTCCTCTGGGTAGATACCCAGAAGTGAGATTGCTGGATCAAATAGTGGATCTACTTTTAGTTTTTTAAGGAATCTCCATTACTCTTTTCCATAGTTGTTGTAGCAATTTACATTCCCACTACCAGTGTAAAAGTGTTTTCACCACATCCATGCAGACATCTATTTTTTTTATTCTTTTTTGATTATGGCCATACTTGCAGGAGTAAAGTGGTATCACATTGTGGTTTTGATTTACATTTCCCTGATAATTAATGTTATTGGGCATTTCTAATATGTTGGTTGGCCATTTATATAACTTCATTTGAGAATTGTCTCTTCATGTCCTTAGCCCACTTTTTGATGGGATTGTTCGTTTGTTCGTTGCTGATTTGTTTGAGTTCCTTGTAGATTCTGGTTATTAGTCCTCTGTCAGATGTATAGATCACAAAGATTTTCTCCCACTCTGTGGGTTGTTTACTCTGCTGTTTCTTTTTTTTTTTTTAATTTATTTATTATTATTAAACTTCAAGTTGTAGGGTACATGTGCACAACGTGCAGGTTTGCTACATATGTATACTTGTGCCATGTTGGTGTGCTGCACCCATCAACTCGTCATTTACATCAGGTATAACTCCCAATGCAATCCCTCCCCCCTCCCCCCTCCCCATGATAGGCCCCGGTGTGTGATGTTCCCCTTCCCGAGTCCAAGTGATCTCATTGTTCAGTTCCCACCTATGAGTGAGAACATGCGGTGTTTGGTTTTCTGTTCTTGTGATAGTTTGCTGAGAATGATGGTTTCCAGCTGCATCCATGTCCCTACAAAGGACACAAACTCATCCTTTTTTATGGCTGCATAGTATTCCATGGTGTATATGTGCCACATTTTCTTAATCCAATCTGTCACTGATGGACATTTGGGTTGATTCCAAGTCTTTGCTGTTGTGAATAGTGCTGCAATAAACATACGTGTGCATGTGTCTTTATAGCAGCATAATTTATAATCCTTTGGGTATATACC